AGGCCAACGGGAGAGTGATGTCTTCTCGGCGCATAATGCAGGCCTTTCTCATCCCGGAATGCGCGATGCATGTTGAATGATACCTAGGTATAGTGAAAAAAGAAAGAAGACGACTCCCAAGAGGTGTGAAAACGAGACAGAGCTGACATGCTGAAGGAGCGCCATTCTCCAAAATAATACATGAGCTGACACTTTTGTGGCGTAGTTGGCGGCTGGATGCCTGGTTCGTATTTCCTTTGTTCCCTCTTGGAGCGCTTGGGTATAACTCGCATATTGCGGCACAGGTTCCACCCCTGACTCGCTAAACACAGGGGAAAGCGCCACCATGTTGCTAATTCAACCAATTGAATAAATCGCAAGATGGCGCGGTGGGTAAGGCGAGTCGCAACGTTGGTAAAATCATCTTCGTGTTTGGTATGTGGAGATGTGGTGTCGGTCGTCGCGAACCTGATCGACGAACTACTCATGGTCTTTGCTCGCGCGATAGATGACGGGATTCGCGCACGAAGGATTCCAGGAATTCAGGGAGATCATCCGGCGGCTTGAGATGCAATGTCGGCTGCAGCATACTGCGATCCTCCTGCACCAAACTGGGTGTAATGCAGTATCCTCAAAAAGGGGTAATGCAATGTGTACGATTGACTGTATGGCCGCAGCCCACCCACATCTGCTCGCATCGACTAGATAGAACGCTGTGCTGATACATGAGTGCCCTTTTACCGAATGTAGAGAGAACAGACGAGATTGATCTTACTAGCAGGTGTGGCGTAGACAGCTAGTGTTAGGGCTGAGTGACAGGTGGTACGGGCGGCCTAGCAATGACTAGCAGATGAAGCTACTTCATCACACCAAACGGAACTTTGCCGAAGCGAAGATTGGGTTTCGTACTAGTGATTATGATCCGAGCGATATGCGAGTGAGATGTGCATGCATATGGCAGTTGCGAAAGGGAGTGAACCTGGGGTTCAAGCTGTCTCCTCGCCATCTACTAACGGGATAGAGAAATTGAGTATTCAATGGCTGATAGATTGTACACGCAAACAAGGCCAGATACTGACGGCGAGTTTGCACCAAGTTTTGCTCAAACAGAGGGTATATATTTACAAAAGTCCCGTTTATACCATTTGGCCTCCAAATACCACCCTTGTGGTCTTGCTATTAGTGATCGCATATATGCTACTCATGACATCGTTAGAGAAGTATCCCATACCGTGTAGAGATACGGAATTCCAAACGCCTGCCTTTTGTGTATAGAAACGTGGTAGAACAAGGTGCCGAGTAATACAATCCTGGAAGGAAGAAGGCAGTGCTGAGGATGCTTAGAAGAAATGCTGTCCGCCGTACCCGTTCATTGCGGTAAGTGGCGGCTGAAGTAATGTCTGCGGTTGCTGCTGCTGAACAATGTTTGCAGGCACGTAGTGCGTCTGGTAAGGATGTTGTGGCATGCTGAAGTCTGCTACAAGCAGAGGGTTACCAAAGCCCGTCGGCCGCCGCTGTACTGGGGCAGGTGCAACCGAGACTTGCGGCATCTGCTGCTGAACGACGACCTGAGGCTGTTGCTGGTACACAACACTGCCTTCCTGCATGTGGCCATTCATCTGCTGCTGCTGCTGCTGCTGTGGGGGTGGCGGAGGCGGAGGTTGTTGCTGTGGCTTCTGGTCCTGGGTTTGCGGCGTATCCCAGCCCCACTTCTGCTTCAGCTCTGTATTGACGAAGCCTACACGCCAACCCGTCTCTTGCCTGATCTTATCGAATATCTGGAGGACCTCTTCTTGCTCGCGTCGGTCTGTGAGCGGTTCAGCTGCGATGGCGAGGGAGCGTAGCGCTACGCTGGCAACCCCGCGGTCTTTGACGTGTGCACTGATACCGCAGATGAACTTGGAGTTTTGCTCGAGCATGGCCCACATGTCGGGTTCGCTAGGGCCCTGTAGCGGGTTGATCTGCGCGAGCAAGACAAGGGATGTATGGTAGAAGAGCCGCGCTATTATCGATGCTCTCTTGATTAGCCAGACTTCGGGGAACGCTGAACCGGATATTGTCTGTCCAGGGTACAAATATGCCATTGGGTGCATGGTGCGTGGTATGTTCTCGTTCCACCTGTCAGTCATGTCTTTCAGCCGAAGCCACTCGTTGTGCCGTTCCTGCAAGGTCTGCCTGGCGACTTCCTGGTTGCGCGGTATCGATGCACGGAAGTTGCATATCCTTGCAACGACATAGAGAATACGATGGGTCCAGACTTCTTCCTTGCCTGACTCAGTCTCTGGTGTAAAGTCCATCTCGATGCCCCACTCGTCGGGGTCCCAAGCGACCTGCCAGTTGAAGTGCAGACAACTCAATATCTCCATGCCGACGTTCAGCCAGAAACAGGCGGCTCCGATGCCTGTTGACCTAGCGTTCCAGCGGCACTCTTTGATCAGAGCACGAGCTCCCGCGATGTGGTTCATCCGTTGTAGCGCACGTTCTCCCATGATTTCGTATACGTTGAGTATTACCGCAGTGGTAGCGCATAGAATGGTATCGCGGTCGGGGTCCTGCAGAGAGTGCAGAAGGTCGCGTGTGGCTACATCGTAATAGTGGAGTGCTTTCTCCTCGCTGTACTTGGGATTAACAAGGGCAAGATGTCGTGCACCACATGCGAGGAAGGCGTGTAACAGCATAGGCTCGTTGAGCGCATGGAAGGGTAGCAGACGCGAGAAGTGCTTGTGTGCGTCCATGCTGTCCATCCAAATGCCGATTTCCTCGACGAAAACCTGCATGTATAATACCTCCTCTTGGCTCTTCAGGTAGTCGCGCGTGGGGAGGGGTCCGGGACTGGCCGAATGCTCCATCGTGTACGGGGACGGTGTTGGGCCGTTTGAGAAACTCGATACTATAGAGTCAGCACGGTCAGCTGGAATGGACTGTTGACTTACTTGAACGCCCGTGTTGGTGCTGGGTCCGCTGTTGGTCGAAGTTGTAGGTGAGTTGCGCTTGCTGGTACGACTCCTGTGCGATGCCCTGGATGGGAGGAATGTGCTGGCGCGACGAAGCTGGCGGTCCCATGCCAAAGCCGTTGCTGCCCATATGAACATGTGCGTCCATGTCCTCTACTGGATACATTTCTCGCCCGCCCACATATTCCGAAGCAATGGTCCGCGACTCGTCCATGAAAGCGATCTGATAGTCGATGCCTTGGGGGATCAGGTATGCATTCCGCTCGCAGGTGGTGTCGAGGAAGTTGAGCTTCTTGCCCCAATTGCACTCGCGCTGGGACTTGAGGCAGTTGTTGCAGGTCGGTTTGGTCTCATCGCACTTGAGATGGCGCTCTCTGCATGTCAGGCAGCCGGTACGAGTCCTCTTAGGCTTGTCGTCTGGCGTGGCATCGCTGGCTCTCTTTCTCGAGGGCAATGGCTTGCTCGTGGGCGAGTCATTGTTGGAGGGTGGTGTCGCGGTGTTGGCCATGCTGACGCTCGCTCGGGGACAGGCGTTGCGCCGTCGCTCGCCGTGGCAGGGCGATCACGACCCCGTAACAGGGCGCGCAGTGGGCCAAGTCTGTCGATCCCTCCACTTCGATTTGGTGGTCAATCGTCGAGTAGTCACGGTTGAAGATGTGGGGTTGGTCGAGGACCGCCGTAATCTGACAGCTCGGTTGCGACGGGACGCGACGCAGCAACGTAAGATTCGCAAGATTCGCCGTAGTGCGGCTGCAATGGCAGTGATTGAACAATAGTGGAAAGAAACACAAAGGCGTAGATCCGTCGTCGTGGTGCGAATGCAAAAAGTGTCGAGAGGGCGCAGGGATAGGAGGTCTTGGTGAATTGGCCGTCGAGAGGGCGTGTGCAGGCGTTCGGTCGCGGATGATATGCAGGAACGCGCTGGTCTAGATGGAGGGGTGGGCGAGGAAAGTCATGGGAGTCGAGGGTGCTTTTGGCGGGACAGAAGCAAACAAGTAGCAGCAGCGAGTCGTGAGGAAAGGCGGAATATTGGATTATACCTGAGCGGGCTGGCGTACATGCAGGCGATGACGAACGATAGGAGATGCTGGACGTCCTGGCAGGGAGCGTCGCAAGGGCAGGTGCACGCGAGGGCTGGGGACCGAGGCGCCTGTAACGTTGACAGCTGCACTCTGAAACAAGACGCTGTCCGGGTTTTCGGTCGTCAGCGTCTGGACGTGTGGACGAGTATCACGACGATCCCGCGATAAAAGACGGCAGAGCTGGACAGCATGCGCCTTCGGGGAGACGTCTGGGCCTTGGTGTGCGCCAGTCCGGGGTGCGACGCCATGATGCGCGCGCCCTCCCGGTAATGATGCGCGCGCCGGCTTGGATGCGTCGTGACATTCGGCGACGTAGCATGGAAACTCTTCTTCCCGTCCCGCGGACCCTCGATTGCTGTGCATCATTGCTGTAGCGAGCCCTATTGCCCAGCGCACTAGCTTTCTCGTGGCAGTTCGTGCGAAGAGCTACCCATCGTGGCGCAGGCAGCAGCTTGGCACTACCCCAGCGCTGCTGGAGAGACAGACACATCTTGCAGGTATCCAGATGATGCCCAACCGGCTTGTGCAGGTGCATTGCGCCCGAGCAGCTTCGACGCTCCATGGCATGCTGACTGGCTGCACCTTCACTCGTCTAATCTTGTAGAGTTTTGCGAACAAGCTCAAGACCAGAATAGATCCCTGTCCGTCTCGGCAATCTTTGCACTGTCATAGCACCTGCCACCCTGGAACACCTGCCGACGCCTCCACATGTACTTCTAAGCTGAGAGGAAACGAATACTCCTTCTTCCATACCAGTCAACATGGCTGTTTCGTACTTCTGCTGCAGCAATCGAATGACCCTCAGCTCGCTAGTACCGAGCATCGTCTGAGAAGGAACGCCCAGCAGGCAGCCGTTTCAAGCGCGCATGTACCTGTCGTTCGCGTTGTATACCCGACAATCAACCGCTCATCACTGGCCCCACCATCGCTTCTCGACGATCGTCTCTCGTGCCGGCCTGCCTGAAACTAACACCTCAGCTTGCCCATGGCCCTGGAGCGCCAAACCGCCACGCTCCCACCAGCACAGCCCACTGCCATTCTCCGCGGCCATGCCTCGCACATCCACGCAACTTTGTTTGTTCGCCAGAACAGTCGTTTGTTGACGGGCGACGCAGATGGCTGGGTCGTCCTCTGGAATGTTCAGACGAAGCGACCAACTGCTGTCTGGCCAGCTCACGATGGCCCCATCCTAGCCTTCGCCCAATGGGGCGATGCAAATATCATAACGTGCGTGTCACTGTAGCAAACCACCAATCACCCTAAGACTAGCCCACGTCTGCCTGACGAGCTCTACTAACCTCAGATCGCGGATACAGACATGGACGGGACAACAGAATAAGAGTCTGGCGACTTGCACTCGAAGACGAGACAGAGAAGCTTTCATCAACATTACCTGAAGATGGGAACCGAGAACACACGCCCAAACCGTGGCTTCTTCATTCGCTTCCCGTCAACACTCTCAACTTCTGCTCTTTCTCCATGGGCTATCAGCATCCTCCAGCCTCTGTCGCAGAGGATGACTCCATCTTTGTGGCAGTCCCGTCAACAGACGACAAGGTGATCGACGTGTATAGCTTCCCTGGTGAGCTACTCAAGGTCAGGATCCCACAGATACGAACCGTCGAAACAGGCATGGTCATGGCCGTGAGATTTGTTCGTAATAGAGCCACGCAGAGACTTCTCCTGCTCGCAGGGTATGAAGGCGGGGTCACTGCAGCCTTCAAGCTGGCTGAAGAACACCCCGACACGAGCGTAGAGACTGCCCAGCTTGTATACCTCAGTCAACCCCATTCTCAGCCGATTCTGTCATTGGACGCTTCGCCAGAGGGCGACTTCTATTTCACATCCTCGGCAGATGCTATAGTAGCCAAGCATCAGATACCGGAGTTGCCATCCATTCCGGGTAAAGAAGACAACGACCCACCCGTACCGTCTTCAGATCTATTCACAAAGCAAACTGTTGATCAGGCGAGCTCCAAGAAAGCGACACCCAGCGGTCTATCTTCACTGCTTTCGTCGGCCGCACCGCTACCGAAGTTCAAGCCTGCTCCGCCAGTCCAGAAAGTGGTCAGCTTACAAGCCCCGTACAAAACAACAGACACCAAACACGCAGGTCAACAGTCGCTCCGTGTCCGCTCGGATGGCAGGCTTCTGATTACCGGTGGTTGGGACTCACGGATCCGCATATACAGCACCAAGACGCTCAAGGAAGTTGCCGTGCTAAAGTGGCACAAGGAAGGAGTCTACTCCACTGCATTCGGTGAGATTCTTACACAAGATGAGATAGGTCGCGGAGATGGGGCTACCAATAAGCGACAAAGAGACCGTGAGGAGCAGTCGAAGCTTAAACACTGGGTCGCGGCAGGAGCTAAAGACGGGAAAGTCAGTTTGTGGGAAGTGTTTTGAGGTCTGTCCGGCTTCTTGTGGGGTTTGGAGTACGCCGACGGTCCCATGATGACGCATTTATACAGATAGATGTATTGTAGTATCAAGTGGCACGTTAATAGCAATCTACCAAGCAATTACAAGAGTCGGTGGTGCTGATGTATAGCGAATCGGAGGTGATGCTGCGCCGGCGTGGGTTCCCCACAAGAAGCCGAGGCATAGCGACCGGGGAAGTGGGCTTGCGATGTCACCGTCCATCGTCGCGACGCTCCGTGCCTGCTTCACCATGTCGTAGCAACAGTGCCAACGTGGACTGACACGAAACTAAAACACCCGAAAAACTCCATCTCCCGAGATCGATTCCTAAACGCGTCCTTCCCATGCGATACGCGCTTTCCGCCGCACCCTTTCCCTAAGGAGACGCTCCTTGCATATCCCACATCCGCATTCCAATCAGCATGGCCTCCTCAGACGAGGACCGGAAGTCCTCCACCGCGCGCCCCTCCAGCCCCGAACAAGCTCCCGATCTCAGCATCACAGCCGACGACAATGTCTACCTGCACGCAGCCGGCTACAACGAATCGCCCGACCGCGGCCTTATACACAGCTTCGCGCGCTTCCGATCCTCGCCGCTCGATTTCATTCGCGAAGTCTCGCTACACTTCTCAGGGACAGGATGGAGGTCTTTTGACGATCACATTGGGCAGCCAGAGTTCTACCCAGGCTTTAGCGAGGATATGAAGGCGAGGGTGTTGAGCAACCCAATGCTCGTCGCCAAAGTTCGAGAGTTGGCGGACAAAAGGGTAGAGGTTGAGGCGAAAGAAGGGCTGTTGGGCGAGGATGCAATGCATGGGGTTGGTGTCGGCGAGAAAGATAAAAAGGCAAAGAGGAGGGTGCAGATTGAGGAATCGCTTATTCAGGTCAGCGAGGGCTGGACGGATTCCATGATCTGCAAGATGGAAAGCAAAGGCTTCATAAGAGGTGCATACTATTTCGCTACACAACTCTTGACAAGAGCATACCACCAGGGCGTCCACGTCTCGAGCGAGGAAGTGCTACGCCTGCGCGCTGTCGCCGAGAAGGCAGCAAAAGACAAGCACTCCATTATCTTCCTTCCGTGTCACCGCTCGCACGTAGACTACGTCTCGCTACAAATCATCTGCTACCGACTCGGGCTTGCCTTGCCCACAGTCGTGGCTGGTGACAACCTCAACTTCCCAGTCGTCGGGTCCTTCCTCCAACACGCCGGCGCTATGTGGATACGAAGGAGCTTCGGGGACGATCAGCTGTACATTACACTTGTACAATCCTACATCGATACCCTGCTGCAATGTGGATACAATCTGGAGTGCTTCGTAGAAGGAGGGAGAAGTCGTACAGGCAAGCTTCTGCCGCCCAAGTTCGGCATACTGAGTTACATGCTCGACAGTATCGCGAGCGGTAGGGTGGAGGACGCGATCATTTGCCCGGTATCGACGCAGTACGATAAGGTCATCGAGGTTGAGTAAGTCTTTCGATCAGCTTGTTCCCATAGGGAAAACTAACACACCCCAGCTCATACATTAGCGAACTCCTCGGTCAACCCAAACCCAAAGAAAACCTCATGGACTTCCTGTCCGCTTCCAGTGTCCTCTCCCTTAAACTCGGCCGCGTAGACGTCCGATTCCACGAGCCATGGTCACTCAAATCCTTCATTAATCAGCAACGCGAACGCTTCTCTAAACTTCCGCAGCAACTCGATACCAAAGACGACCGACTCCGTCTCCTCCGCACACTGGGCTACAAAGTTTTGTCAGAGATCAACGACGTCTCCGTCGTGATGCCCACCGCTCTCGTTGGTACCGTCTTACTGACATTGAGAGGTCGTGGTGTAGGCAAATCAGAACTCATCCGCCGAGTCGAATGGCTTAGCGACCGTGTCAGGGCTCAAGGTGGCCGTGTAGCACATTTTGGGAACCTCCCCACTAGTGTCGTTGTCGACCGCGCTTTAGAAGTTCTGGGACCTGGACTTGTTGGCCTAGTCCCCGGATTACCAGAAGACACATTTTACGCCGTGGATAGGTTCCAACTCTCCTTCTACAGAAACATGACCATTCATCTCTTCATCCTACAAAGCCTGGTCAGCGCAGCACTATACACGCATGTAAAGCAGGGCGGTGGCCCAGAGTATCAACGCATGTCTTACGGTGACCTGCGCGCACAGGTGCACTTCCTCTCGCAGCTCTTCCGGGGAGAATTTATCTTCCCCACCGAAGGTCTCGATACCAATCTCGCCAAGACACTCGAAGGACTAGAAAAAGACGGTGTCATCACGATGTCACGGTCAAAAACCGAGCTCGGCGAAGAAACCGTGGATTTCGTCGAATTATCACCTGCTGAACGGACCCAAGGACGCGAAAACTATGACTTCTACTGTTTCCTCATCTGGCCGTTCATCGAAGCTGCATGGCTCGGTGCTATCAGTCTGATGATGCTCACACCTCCCCTGTCATCCCCCAATGCTACATCGCCATCTCCATCCTCTTGGCTCGACCTCAAGAAAGTCCAAGACCGCGCACAAGTTCTCGGCAAGACTCTCTACCACCAGGGCGACCTTTCTTACTTCGAGGCTGTAAACAAGGAAACACTGAAGAATGCGTACACACGCTTCCAGGAAGAAGGCATGATTCTCGTTACAAAGTCCAAAGACAAGACGCCCGCCACTATCAGACTAGCAGAGGAGTGGACTCCGCAAAGAGGGTCGAACGGTGGCATCATCGCCGATGGTCCATTATGGCGCTTCGCTGAGCGCATTAGTGCTTCGCGGAGAGAAGGCAAGAATCGGCGCGATGGAGCGACAGTTCAGACGAGAGTTTTGGCACTAGCGGATCTGGTTGGTGAGAAGCTTTGGGAGGATGCTGTGTTCGATAGAAAGGAGTTGGATGGGGATGAGGTGGGTGCTGTTGAAGGGAAGGCGAAGAGCATGCGGAAGAGAGGGAACATGGCGCGGCTTTAGGTTGCTTGTTGTATGATTCGTCATGTACTTTAGCTTTGGGAGATATACCATTTGATTGTTGGTCCCATGTCATGGGTACAAGAATTCTGCTTCCGCTGACGGTGTTCCTCTCGATCGTTGAGACTGCTGATCAGGGAGATGGAGCATGGACTGTGATATAAGTCGCAAGGTTCTGTGAGCACAACACATCGCCAACAGTGGTTGTATGCGAATACAAGGACATCTACTTCTGTTGTACAATATGTAGATGGAAACCAGGATGCCTACACATCATTCCTGATGTTTGGTCGTTTCTACTAGGAAGCCATGGGTTCTCTTAGAGGCCTTGTATATGCTTCACTTTCCTATGTTGTGGTGTATGTGGCGGTCAAAAGTGGGCAGGTCACCCAACTTACCCAATGTGTGACGCACAGTTACCCTCTCACCTCAAGGTGATAATGACGCTAGGTAACTCCGGGGCCTCGAGAATGAGGTTTTGTGACTAGACTTCATATAAAGCTGCCTCATATATTCTCTCTCAGTACTATATCTCTTTCCTTCTTTCATCAACAGCACTCCCGCCTGCTGAAACGTACAGTCAACCACACCAGTAAGCTGAGTCTGTTCATCCCTCTGTTCGACAAGATACTGACAGCAATCGCAGCTACGAGGACAAAATGCCCAGCTGCCCACGTTACACCAAAGAGCAGTTGCTCGACATGCTTCAAGAGCAATGTCCCGGTGTCATGGCCAGACTTCCCTCGCCTGAAACTTTCATCTTCCGAGATCTTCGAAAGCCAATGCTTCGTATTGGCACCTGCACTAAAGGAAAGCGCAGCCCAACAACGTACGAGCTTCATGTTTAGTGTGGCGGCAAGCCCGAGGCAAAGCCTGTCTTGCACTATGACGTCGAAAACGACGATCGAAGCTTCAACGGCGATGGATTCTTCAAGAATATGAACGGGACGTACATTTACTCGGATAAGCTCAAGGCAGTGATCGCCTTTGTCTTTGTTTACTGCGGCCAGATGGATGTGTTCTGCGACTTCGGCTTTGGAAATGGCTTCAAATTGCTGGTCGAAGTACTGAACTATGTGCTCTCTGAAGTCGAGGATGGCGCCGCCTCCAGCAACGATACTGCAGAGGCTTCAGATGCGCATGCAAACATGGTCAAAATCCCCGATGACGACCGCTCTGAAGAGACGCTGCCCGAGGAATACCCTCATAAGTCACTGGACAATATACTCTCTGAGAAGCCCAGGAAGAGATCGCTTAGAGTCGAAAGCGATGAACACGTGGTGCAGAAGAAGCTCTGCGTTGAGTAGGCAGCCGCACTGACTTCTGCCCTGTGCTACTATAATTGAACGAGTCTGATCACAGCTTACCTGGGAGATGCTAACCATTCTTCAGGCTACAGGTTGCGAGAAAAGGCGATTCATAGCCAGAAAATTTGCGGGCGAGACTAAAAGTTGATGAAGCGAGTTGAGATGGGTTGAAAAACTGATGACTATTACAGAGGGCTCGTGAGGAAGGTCTCGAGAACGACTCATAATCGATGACAGTATCTCTTACCTTCATGGCTTCCAAAATCAATAATCACCTTCAAAATCCCTTCTTCCTTTCTTCAGCTCTTTCGTGATTTCACCTTATACAAGGAAACAACTAAACACCCTGGAGTCTTCATTAATGCCAGATCCTTCAATTTGTGTGCATTCATTGCTGTGTAGTCTACAGACCTGTTCGGTTTGTTTCAGGTGCGGCGGCTATCCTGATCGTCGTTGGTAAGGACTGCCTAGATTTCGATGCGCGTTGAGTTGGGTCTAGACAGGAAAAGCATGTACGGGAATGGTCCAGAGTGAATTAAGTCTCCCCAAGGAATCTCAACACTTCCAAATCTCCAGAGCTCTGTTGCTTCGTGCCCGCGCTTCTGTGTCATGACATTCCATGTAGTGACTGCGACTCAATCATGGTCGCTTGGGGGAAAATCCAAATATTCCACATTGGCCTTGATACTCAGCCTTCCGGATGTGAAGGTAATTGCTATACCGTCTCCTGTTCGCGACTTCCAGGCACGACGAGTGACATCACGCAAGCACGCGTTCCGCGCTACGCCGAAAATAGGAAGATGCTTGCTTAGCGCGTTGCGCTTCCAGCGGGATGATGCGCCCCGCCACCTCAATTCCACGCAAGCAGGATAGTGCAAGACCCTCGTCCGGCAACCATGATGGACACCGAGGAAGTGCTGGATCTGTATGACATCGCAGTCTTACTCAATTACGAACGCAACACTACGGAACCTCGGCTCCGACACACGAAGTTGAGAGAAGTCGCTTTCCCGGGTACACAACCGAAGACGGTCGCACTTAGCAGTCCAATTGACCAAGGCTGGAACAACAACGCGTCTACTTGGATCGTATTGGATCAGCAGCAGACCAGTGATCCAGATGCCCCAGACCTGCCTACGGAATTCCTACCCGCGAACAAACGCCAGGATAGCGCACTCTCCAATGAGCAACTAGAGACGTTGTTCCATCAAGCACGCAACCACGATGGCTGCTACCAGGCAATCAGTCTGCTTCAGATCTTCTTTGCACTGTTCTCCGAAGATACAAAGTTGAGAGTGCGACATGCGCCCAATGGTAAGCAGCCAGGCATGTCTTATACGACAACAGTCAGTAGGCGTGTCATTGTCGAAGAGTCCTTCCGTGACCCAAAGTTCACCACTGCTATCTGCGTGCTCCCACAGGGCGCAATGTTTGTTAGTGGGCATCAGCCACAACTTCTGCATGCGGTCGTAGGTTTCTCTCCGCTCGATAGCGACACGGTTCAATCCTTCTTCGATCTCTCGTCCATGCAGTTCGGCGATATAGGACGCGGCCCTGGACCAAAGGGAAAGCAGTTGTTTGCTCTGGACACCCCAGAGGAATTTGCCCTGCGTTTCAGCATGTTGGCAAAGGGTACAGATCCTAGCAAGAGCGACCGCACCTTAGCGATCAGTGGTACACCCGTAGACGATTGGCTTTGGGAAGTGGCGATGAGGACGAAAAAGAGGTGGATGAATAGAGCGACGGAGAAATGGTGTGGTCACTGTGGAGCACCAGGTGCCAAATCCAAGTGTGCTGGATGCGGCGAGGCGTACTATTGCGGCAAGGACCATCAAAAGTTAGCTTGGGGATATCATAAAGGATATTGCGGGAAGCCTTGATGAAGGTTCTGACGAACGCAGAACCTGCAAAATAACGGACATCTCGTAGAACGTCTTAAATCTTGGTGGGTCATATAACAGGGGGGTATAATTCATCAACACTAGAGTTGTATCTAGAGCTGCACTGCACTTCAAATGCACGTCTATCTTTCCATCCACTGTGCGGCATGCAGTATCAGACTGTGCAAGACAGCACAAAGACATTAACCGCTTTCCAGGACGATGGCCATATCATCCGCGACCGAATGCAACACTACTGTACTCACATCCTCCCACTCGGCAACTCATTAATGGTGGCTGGAACTGGCGGCGACATAGCTGGGGAGTACTGCGGTACAGGGCTCACTGGCCCGTCCGAATAGTGCGGGTTCGCCTGCACAGGATTCACAGCACCTTGTATTTTCTCCGGCATCGCATAGCCACCCTGCTGCGCAGCATACGCAGACTGAGCATTGGGGTCATAGAAATGTTGCGCGGGTTGCTGTGCGTTCGGATCGTACTGACCGTAGTGCTGTTGGTGTTGAGGAGGTGGAGACGGCATCTGTTGCATGTGTTGCTGAGGGACGGGCTTCTGCTCGTGGTAGTACTGGACACCGGCTGGTGGAGCTTGAGGTGCGGTGGGTGGCTGCTGCATGTTGTTGTTGACGGTGGTATTGTTCTGTTGCTTCTTCTTGCGGCGAAGAAGGAAGAAGACTCCGAGAACTACAGCGGCTAGAAGAGCGACGCCGCCGATTACTCCACCGGCGATTGCGCCTACTGGAGTTGACTTCTTGGAATTGTTGGATTCGTTGGAGTTGTTGGAGTCGTTGGAATCTTCGTTACCGGAGGAAGGTGTGAGGTCAAGTGGTGCATCTGAGGGACGACCGGAAGCGGTACGTGAGAGTGGAGTGAATGACAGAGAGATTGGGGTATTCGAGGATGAGCCAGTGTTAGGGGAGGTCGATGAATCTTGGAAGTGTGTTGTCAGTCAATGCTTCATCAAGGTTAGAGAGATTGCATACCCTGGTCTGGGGTGGTCACTAAGATCCTTCCTCCCGTTTCCGTCTTAGCATCGCACCAGTAGTTGGTCAATGGTGAAGGGTCATTGATATCTGTTGCCAGCTCCCAGTAGCTGCAAGTTAAGTTTGAGCCTCCACTGCGATGCCATGTTAGTATACAATATCCAGGCGACCAGGAGCCAGAACGTACCAGAAGACTGATGTAGTCGGGTACACAACGTAATCGCTCTCACAAGAAAAGAACTCGCAAAGAGATTCTGGCGCACAGATCTTGTAAAGGCTACCTGATGTTGCGATGACATGACCCTCGTTATTTGCAGTGATGGTGTCATCTAAGACTTCTTAGCAACAGTCGAGCAGCCATGTAGGTAATCAATCTTACACAATGTACTCGAGCCATACATGCCCGTGGAAATATATCCAAGGGTAGTAACATCTCTAGCAGCCAGTGCTACAGCTGTTGCAGCAGGGGCAGGCGTGACAGCAGGCGTCGGTGCCCGTATCATAGCAGTGCTCCCATACTTTGCGGAAAAGAGAACGACCAGCAATGAAGAAAGCCTGGTATATGCCATGACGTTTCAGACCCGAGAAATTACAGAACGAGGAGCAGAAAGCACCCTTAAGGAAAGAGCAGGGCCCTATAAGCTAAGTACTCATACCTAGGTATGTTGAGCTACGTACAATGAGAAAGATACTGCGCCGTAAGGCGTGCAGCGACCCGCTGGGGCTTGCCGGCTGCGGCCACACATACGAGGAGAGCGTATTGAAGGCTGATCAGCTGAGATTTTGTGCAATTGGGTTTTATGGAAGTGTTCGGTTGGACGTGCTTGTCGTACAGGCAGGATTGCTGCAATACTTGCACCACACCTACCTAGGTACGCTTTTCCTGCTCATTCTTTCCGTTACTGCATCATTTCAAAGCACAGTTGTTCAGTATTTTCACAAGGTGTTCGTCTTGACGCTAGACGCAATGGTGACCGCTGCAGGGACAACGGATGTGTAACTAGCATGGGGTAGCGAGCTGAAGAAGAAAGAAACAATCCGCCTCGCTTGTGTAGCGCCGCCATAGGCTGTAAACAGGCCGCTTGCAGCCATCACCACCGTGCGCTTTACCTTTTTAATATGAACACCAGGCACGTCGGATGTCTTGGTCGCCAGATAGTCTCACCGGTAAGCCATGTGTTGTGCGACGCGGCAGAGTCGCATGCAGATCCCCATCGTGGCCGTGAACTGCCGAGGTAGGGTTTGAGGCGCAATAATTTCAAGCCTTCTCATGTCCCAAATGACAGCTGCAAGCAATGAGCTTGTGCATGATTGTATCGTTGGGAGTGTTTTGGTGCGAATCGAGGCCCGTAAGGTTTGGTTGCCTACATAACTTTGGAGGACAGGTGCTAGTCGGTCCGAAAGCTCTACACGATGGGTCACATTTGGCCCCCAAACCTTTAATGAGTCAGTGCCGCGGCAAGCAGATTTCGGCTGAAGGTCCTTAGGGTGGCTTGGAACAGAGTGGGGATAACAGAGGAGCATCTTGCACGTGGGCTTGGAGCCTTCATTACGCTGTCGTTATCTTTTCAGTCGGGTCTATCTCCTCTTCACGCCAGGACATCTAATGTCCATGGCCATCGTCACCACCTCCACCTTGCTCCTCTGGATCCAGCTTGATCAGGGTATCGATACGCATAATGGCAACACACGCCTCCACTGCTGACTTCAATTGCTTGACTTTGCTCATGCTGGGTTCCAGTACACCGGCCTTTAGGCAATCGTGCACTTTACCGTTTGACAGGTCCAGACCGTAGTTCTTGTAGTTCTTCGACTTGGCCAGCTGCTTTGCGTCTTGCGACGAAGGGTCTGAAGGGTTCACTGTACGCTGTGAAAGAGCGTGCCGTGATCGGAGGTTGGCGACGAGCTCGGTAGCATCCTTGGCCGCGTTGATGGCAAGTGTCTTAGGAATAGCAAGCAGAGACTGCGCAAAAGCAGCAATGGCCAACTGTTCCCGAGAGCCCTAGACTTGTCGTTAGTCACGTTGTTGACATGCAAGGATTGGAGTGACTCACCACTGACGTTGCCCACTCTTCCAAGTAGATGTGCAACGCAGTCTCGACGGCACCTCCACCAGGGACAATGCGGCCGCTCTCGAGGGTTCGCTTCACGGCTGATAATGAATCGTGTACTGATCGCTCCATCTCGTCCAGGGCGTAGTCGTTCGCACCTCGCAGGATGATGGATGCGGACGAGAAAGCCTTGGTGCCCTTGACCAGAATGCACTCATCGTCAGAAATGCGCTCTTGCGAAACCTCCTCAGCATGGCCAAGGTTTGCTGCCTCAAACTTCTCGTCACCGTTCAGATCAGAAAGTGTGCTGACCAGGGTTGCTCCGGTCGCCTTCGCTATCCTTCGCAGATCCTCCTTCTTACACCTTCGCACAGCCATGGCACCCTTCTCGACGAAGTGCTTGAGGCAGAGGTCGTCGATGCCCTTTGTAGTCATGATGACGTTGGCGCCGGCCTTCAGGATCATTTCAATGCGCTCAGTGACAATGCCAGCCTCGCGCTCTCGAATCTTCTCTAGCTGCTCCGGGTCGTCGATGGTGATGTGAACACCCAACTTCATGCGCTCCTTCTGCAGGTTGATGTCCAAGCAGGCAATCTTGGCGTCGGTGATGCGCGTCTTCATGGCTTGCGAGGCGACCGTGCAGTTGAGAGCGTAGCCCTTGACCAGTATCGACTGAGTCGCGCTTTGACCGTGTGCCTTGAGGATGTTGACAGCCTTTACAGGGTATTTGACCTCGCCCTTGTTGTTTGTCATCTTGACAGCAGTCATGCCATCTACCACCATGTTGGCGAAGAAGTCGGAGTCGGAGCCGATAATCTTGCTGGACATGGACGTCTTCGCGATGTTGACTAGCGAGTCCCGACCGAGCGCATCGACCTTGGTGCTGATGTTCTCGTTCATGTACTTGACCGCCTCCCTCAGCGCCAGCCTGTAGCCTGTGATGATGGTGGTGGGGTGGATCTTGTTCTTCATGAGCTCGTTCGCTCTCCGCAACAGCTCGGCCGCTATTATGACGACGGAGGTTGTGCCATCGCCGACTTCCTTGTCTTGTTGTTGGGCCAGGTCGACGAGGATTTTGCCTGCGGGGTGCTCGATATCCAGCAAACTGAGGATGGTAGCGCCGTCGTTGGTCACGGTAACGTCACCGATGTCGTCGACCATCATCTTGTCGAGACCCGAGGGCCCAAAGGACGACTTGACGACATTCGAGATCGCTTGGGTCGCAAGGACGTTTTGGTCGCGAATGTCCTGGCCGCTGATTTTCTGGCCGCCGAGGACTGCACGTGTTAGCTTTTTGCGGCGGTCTTGTTTGCTTCGGCGGCTTACACAGAGTTCCTCCGCTACGTGACTGCTCGAAGATTCCTGCCATTGTGTCGGGTGATAGCTGTTCTGCTTCGTTGTTGCTGCCTCTACGCGGTCCAGAAAATCTCCAGCAATGCCCGCCCGCGTCGGCGACGGCGAATGGTAGCTCCGCCCGTGAATCGCGCTAGTCTGGACCCCTGCGCCGATGACTCGGCCCTCCACACATTTGGCTGTCGACTCACACGAGACTGCAACGAGCCGACTCTGTCTTAGCTTTACGTGACTCTAAAGTGCTCTCGCCTTATATTGTTTGGGTTCCCCACCGTCTCTTTAACTTGCCATAACTCAATTGCACGTAAGTAGTCCCAAGTCGCGTCTTGATACCCCGCCTGCCCCACCAACTCACCCTGTTTACAAATGGGTTTGGCTAGAATATCTATACGACCGCGATTTCACTACCTTTTCATCCATTAGTACTCGTGAAGATATCTCTTGCGAGACGCTGACAGCTTTGTATAGCACCTTCCCAACATGGCTGAAGCCACAGCTGCCGATGGCAAGATGAAGGATCTTTCCATCTCTGAGACCAAGAAGAGTAAAAAGGATGGTAACCCTCAGAAAGCCGCGAAGAAGCCCCAGCAACAGAAGAAGAAGGTAGGTCTATGCGGCGACACCGAACATCCGACACCATGCGCGATACTAACCAAGCCACAGATCGAAGGTTCAGCGTTGATTGGTATCGATGTCGCAAAGGAGGTCGACCTGGGAGACTGGTACCAACAGGTCATTACAAAGGGACAGATGATCTCCTACTACGACGTAGCCGGATGCTACATCCTCGAGCCCTCCTCGTACGCTATCTGGGAGAACATCAAGTCGTGGTTCGACAGCCAGATCAAGACTTTGAAAGTCCGAAACGCATACTTCCCCATTTTCATCAGCGCGGATAACTTGGAGCGAGAGAAGGAGCATGTGGAAGGTTTCGCCGCCGAGGTCGCGTGGGTGACCAAGGGCGGGAAATCTGACCTGGAGAAGCCCGTCGCTGTGCGCCCTACATCCGAAACAGCCATGTACCCCTACTTCGCGCGCAAGATCCAGTCGCATCGCGATCTTCCCCTGAAGCTGAACCAGTGGAACAACGTCGTTCGGTGGGAGTTCAAGCGTGAGTACTGATCTATTCTTTTCTCCGGCAACGTCTAATCTGTGTCCAGATCCCATGCCCTTCATCCGATCGCGCGAGTTCCTCTGGCAAGAAGGCCACACCGCACATCTTACCCAGAAAGAAGCGAGCGATGAGGTTCTCCAGATCCTGGACTGGTACTCTGATGTGTACCAGAAGCTGCTTGCCGTTCCGGTTGTGAAGGGAACGAAGACTGTCAACGAGAAGTTCCCCGGAGCCGACTACACCACCACTGTCGAAGGTTTCATTCCCGCTACTGGCCGCGGTATTCAGGCTGCAACATCCCATGCTCTCGGTCAACATTTCTCAAAGATGTTCAACATCACAGTCGAGGACCCCACCGCCAAGGAAGCTGGAAAGTCGGAACACGTCCACGTTTGGCAGAACTCATGGGGTCTGACTACACGTTCGATCGGTGTCATGATTCTGACTCACGGAGACAACCGAGGTCTTGTCATTCCTCCCAGAGTGGCTGAGATCCAAGTTGTTGTCATTCCTGTGGGAGTCACCGCCAAGTAAGTTTATCACTGATAACTCAACTATGGCAATGCTAACGAAACCAGGATGTCTGCTGAGGCTAAGGAGGATCTCTACAGTAAGGTCAAGAAGATCCATGACGATCTTACTGAGGCTGGTGTTCGCGTTGAGACCGACTACCGTGAGGGCTACTCTCCCGGCTGGAAGTTCAATGACTGGGAGTTGAAGGGTATTCCTCTACGAATCGAGTTCGGCCCTAAGGATGCTGAGAAGGGTATTGTCACCACATCTCGTCGCGACATCGATGACAAGGACGCCGCACGTGGTACCATCAATGTCGACAGCATCGCACAAGAAGTCCCCAAGTTACTCGAGCAGATCCAGGAAGACATGTTCAACAAGGCTGACAAGGCATACCGGGACCACCGCATCCAGCTTACCAACTGGGATGACTTTGTCCCTACCTTGAACGGTAAGAACGTTGTCCTGGTTCCCCACTGTGAGGGCGACAAGTGCGAAGATGAGGTAAAGGCGAAGAGCGCACGGAGTGCGTTGGGCGATGGCGTTGCGGAAGACAAGCAGGCCCCTGCCATGGGTGCGAAGAGTTTGTGCATTCCTTTCGAGCAGCCCGAGGGTATTGAGCCTGGCAAGACCAAGTGCATCAACCCCGACTGTCAGACTCCCGCCAAGCAGTGGATCTTGTTCGGACGGAGCTACTAGTGAATTGACACCTCAGGAAGTGTATTGTTTATTCGAGCATTCGGTGGCATGGAGTTTGATGGCGTGGTGTTTGCGGCATGGGGAAGCGGTTGTCGTTACACTGGTCATTCATGGTTTTGCAATGTTGATATAGCTTCTAGCATAGAACCCAAAGTTCTGACCTGCCCTGCCCTGTCCTTCGAAGCCGTATCTTCCTGAATGTACAATGTTGTTTCTATATTGACAAACGCGCAGGTAGGCAAACGAATGCTAGTGCGTGAATAAGCTAAACCAACGCTCATATACCGCTTGGGAATGATTGAGCCGCCACTTTTACCAGCCCTTTGCGACATATCACCGCCTCTGACTTTGTGCTAACTCACCTCCACGCTGCCGCTCTAACATTCACTTACTCCCGTCATCCAACTTTGATCTTGAGTCATCCACCAACTCATACACCAAGAGTCCCCGATCCTTCGAACAGAACCTCGCCAGCCGCCCAGAATGTGTCACAAACTCCTCCAAGTCTATGCTTGCGGGCACCACAAGACAATCTGCACAACGCCGTGCCCCCACGCTATCGCTACAGGCCGCCGCATCCCCAGCAACCGTGGAAATGCACCGGATCTGTCGCGCTCAAGTTCCGTTGTGTCCGCTATGGCGCCCACGTCAACTAGTCCACCAGCGCGGAGAACCGACGTCCAAGATCTGCCTTCACAGCGTGCTCGTGAATCACAGGCTCATCCTCCTCCACTGAGAGCGGCGGTGCTGGGCAGTCAAGCACAACAGCAGCAGGGTGGAGGCAATGCTCCAGCATTCCGCTTCATGGCGCCGGGTACAGGACCAGAGGCAGCGGGTGCGGGATCGGGTTATATGCAGAGCCATCCTAGTTCCCCGGCGTCAATGTCTCCAACTTCTCCAACTGAGAGTCAGCCTTCACCCACTTTCTCGACCACCGGCACCTTAATCGATGCGCCCTTTGCTACAAACATATCTTCGCCATCTACCTTCTTCACACCTGCCGACCCAGAAGTTGACGATAGGTCAGTACCCTGTCACCACTGCGTCTCATCCCTCTCTTTCCACGGTCCGATGGCTAACATCTCAACAGTGACGTAGACCCCAACTTCTGCGCTTACCACTTTCCCCGTTACCTCCCTGGACTCAGAGTACCTTGCAAGGGGTGCTACTCGCAACCGCAATATGAGGATCAACGCGATGCGTGGATGAAGCATTATCGCGAACAACATCCAGCAGACAAAGTTGAGGATATTGAGCACCTGAGTGGAGTGGCTGCAATTATGGAAAGATTTGGCTGATAACCATTTCCCCGTTGGAAGTGGGACGAATGAAAGTCGATAATGGGTACGAATCTGTGGAAAGGCTAAAGCCGTTGACTGACTCTGTACACTTTGGAGATCCTCATAGATGGGAAGCGAACCTCTAGGAAGAGGATTTCAAAAGTACAGACCAGAGCGAGAATAATTCGATTATCCTACCCTTGCAATGCAGTGCTCGTGCCATTGGTCATTGTCGTCTATATGTGCATCATTCGTGTGTCGTCATTCAATGCCAAAGCATGTCCAAATCGCTACAGCCGCTGGGCAGTCTAGCTGGTGTCCATGTCATCGCCGCCCTTCTTCTCCTTTTCTACTGTCTTCTTGACACCTTCCAGAAAAGCCTTGACTGCATCCCCGCCACCAAGTGGCATGCCTCCACCTCTCATATAGCCTCCGTTTTCGACATCAATTTTCAGTGCCTGGCTGACAGTCGGTAGAGCACCAGTCCTCAGGGCCTCGTTCAAACTGCCTAAAGCTCCCCTCAGCTGGGGTGCCCGTAGGATCCTGCTCAAAACCTCGATTTTCTCGTCCCGACCCAATGTCTGTATGGCCATCTGCGCGGTCTCGGAGTTGGGGTCGATTTGATCGATGTCTTCAACTTCGGCTTCTAGGAGGAAAGGGATTGTCGGTAGTTGGGCACACAGTGCGTCGATGGTCTCGTCGGAAGCGTTCTCAACGGTTGAGAGAGTATGCGTAGGCCAGAGGAACTCGGTAAGACTCGCGAAGGGTTCTGATCCTCTTTGTTGTTGTGAGCTGCCGCCTGCGTTGCCGCCTTTGAGCGAGTTCATGAAGTCTTGCACAATGGCAGAGACATCACCTGATCCGGCTCTGTCGACGCGTTAGCGAGAATGTTCAAGAGGATAGGCAAAAGCAAAAACGCGAAACGAGCGCCGCGGCGTGGCCAGTGGAAGACGTAGCATGATGCTTATTTTCTATTGTTGTACATGAGCAGCCAGTGCCAATCGCCATGTTTGGATGGTCTTATGCTTCTCCCAAAACGCCGTACCGTGACAGGATATCTTTATAGTTTTGTATAGAGCCGTTGATAATTTTCACAGCAGCTCGATTCTGCCCGGAAAGGTAGACTGCGCCACGACGCCGAATGCGATACAAATAGATGGAACCTACGCTCGACCACCATCGGCACCCCCTTCTCGGGACTCTTCGCCTTCATCTCGGATATCACCGCCTGTGGCACCAGCACCTGCGCCTCCGGTGCTACCGTGGCGGTTTCGGCTAGATGGCTCTACGTCTTCCATGGTCTCATCCTCGTCATTGTTGGATGAGCTCGAGATACCTGCAAGTTCAGCCTGTACATCAATCTCCTCGCCCGTCAGCAGCAAGTCAATGACTTGTCCGATCTTGAGGTCGCGCTCGCTGAACCAGCTCGCGCCGCGCGGGTGCTGCGATTTTGATTGCAACCAGAAGAGATAGCGTTGTGAGCTCGAGCTGAACTTGAGGACGAAGATGCGGCCGTCGGTGGGCGACTTGATGTTCTCGGGGTCATCGATGGAGTCCTTGCCGGTGTAGGGTTGGAAGGAGCCGTCACCGGGGATCATGATGAGGTCGAGGTCCGACTGGTCGAGCGAGCGGTCGCGTGGTCGCCAGCAAAAGTGCACGAATTCTGGATACGTAAGTTGACGAAGCGGCTGAGTAGGTTGCAAACAAACCATCTTCTCCTTGGTACAGGTAGACATAGCCTGGTGTCGGTACTGGCTTGACTGTCTGCTGGTTGCCTTCTCCGCGCTGTGGCTATTGTTAGTGCACGATCTGGATTGTCAGTTTCCGCAACGCTTACAGTCAGCTCACACTGGCCGGCCTTGAAGGTGATGAGCGGTTGGATAGACATCTCTGCGGTGTGTGTCGGTGTTGGGGCAGTGATGTTCAGCGGCGGTACCGCGAGCATCGCCGCAAGCTGCAAGCTCCACGCGGGTTACGTAACCAACGGAACAACTCTCGGCCCGGTCGCGCGTATCGATTGGACAGCTTGGCACACACTCGAATTCACGAAAATCGATTCCATCGCCAACACCACCGACCAGCACTAACGACCACAGCGAAACGAAATGGCGGCCAAACAAGAGGACACGAAGCCCACCACCCAGAAGTTCTCCAAGGGGGAGAGGTCGATACCGCACCACTCGCAGAAGGCCAGCAAGTACTACCCTGCTGAGGACGTTGCTGTCCCCAAGAAGGTACGTTCGCGATAGACGATGGTTTGCACGGAAGAGAAGGACTGCAGGGGTGCTGGGTGCATTCACTGCGACAGCATGCGGCGGGTGTTTGGGTGCAAGGACAAGAATCAAGACATCAATTGGAGCTCCGCTAACTGCGACTCAAGGCCCGCAAGTCTGTCCGCCCTGCGAAGGTCCGCCAGTCTCTCCAGCCCGGTACCGTCGTCATCCTCCTTGCTGGTCGCTTCCGCGGCAAGCGCGTCGTCGTCCTCAAGCACCTTTCCCAGGGTGTCCTCCTTGTTACCGGTCCCTTCAAAGTCAACGGTGTTCCCCTTCGCCGCGTAAACGCCCGATATGTCATCGCTACCTCTACCAGCGTCGACCTGAGCGGCGTAGACGAGAAGGTTGTGGAGAAGTGCAGCCAGGACGGCTACTTCACCAAGGACAAGGCCGCCCACAAGCCGGGTGAGGATGCTTTCTTCAAGCAGGGCGAGAAGCCCGAGGTACGTACACACAATGGAAGTGCAATGCGACAATACTGACAAAAGCCACAGAAGAAGGAGACCTCCAAGGACCGCGTCGAGGACCAGAAGGCCGTCGACAAGGCTCTCCTGGCCACCATCAAGAAGGAGGCTCACCTCGCCGACTACCTCGGTGCCAGCTTCAGCCTCCGTAGCTCCGACAGGCCTCACCAGATGGTCTTCTAAGCGACGGATAACGATCGGGCATTCGGCGTTCAGTGCATGGGATGAAAGACGACTTCGGCATACTGCGGCTGTACTAGCGAGAAACAAGACTCGCAGCGGCACGGCAGCCAATTTTTTTCATGGAGGATTCCGACAAGGCATTTACCATAAGACTTTATATGAAGCGAGCGAATCTGAGACGGTCCAAAAGTGAACATTTGGTCTCCGCTTGCGTGATGTCATAGTTGGGCGTTCAATTGGCGCAGTACATACTGGGTGGTAATCGAGTACTGATGCAAAGAATAGAGATACAGACGTTACATTCTTCGACCGATACTGCGCCAACTGCCCACGAACTCCCAGCGACCAGACGTAAGGGTATCAGAAGCGACCGCTAACCAAGGACACTACCACCGAACCAATTGCGCCAATGCCACACGTATACAGACCTCGTTACATGACCCTAGGCTCGCCGCTTGACCTACTTACTTCTTTCCCCTTCCTTTCCTAGTCCTGCCAAACTTCCCCGCCAGTCCGTTAGCCGCTTCCCCCGCGCCATCTATAGCTTTCCCCGCCTTCTCCTCCACGTTGTGCTTCTCCATCTCCGCCTTCAGGTCCTCAACGACATCCTTACCAATTGTTGTCCCGTGGCACCAGTCCAAGACACCCATGCATCCGTAATTACCCTCTCCTTCACTCATCATGTGCGCATCGGCGCGTCGTGCCATGCCTCGCAGCATGATGGTTGAGGGTAGGACATTATACCCAGAGTACACAAAGGTCTCTTCTAGACTGAAGATAGCGATCAGGATCAAGTAAGTGAGGATATGCATCCGAAGAGCAATTGCTGGAAGGTATAGAGGCAGGAAGCGGTGCAGGAGGTGGCAGATGGGGTGGTCGTAGTTTGCGGCAAAGGAGTAGGGGATCTTGATGCTGTGGTGCCAGCTCTGATGCAAGTCCGAGAGTACACCGCCAGTCGGAGAGTGCAGCAGATGTGTGTGGATATAGTATTGCAAAACCTATGACATGTCTGTCAGTACGTCTTTGTTAGGGAACGCAATCATGGGATCTTACGTTACGAGATAAGAGTCCGAAAATGCCATGTTTGACCATCGTCCATGGGTTTGGCAGGTGATTCAATCCCCATCGACTGCCTTTGATGAGTAGCAGACTCCTCATCTGCAGTACGTCTGTGATCAAGAACTCAATACCCGCTTGCAACGCCACACTAAGCAGTACATTTGCACAGCTCCACGCAATTACCCTCCTCACTGCGCGTGCGCCACCCTTCTGATTGTTTGGGATACCCCATTGTCCTTGAGATTTGAACTCGATTGCTAGACTTGGTAATCCGATGTCGAATAGCAAGAAGATCAGGCTGGGTATGATGTAGAGAGATAGCCGAATTACCAGTGGCGCAACTAGCTCAAGTTGGAGAGGAGAATAGGATGCGGCGATTGTCGTCCATGCGACCGAGAGGAAGATGAGGTTTAGGCCTGTCGACCATGAGGATAGCATAGGAATGGCCAAGAATGAGCCCAGCGGTAGGGCGATAGGCGCAAGGATGGAAGAGAGTAACGCGCCCATGCCGAAAAGAGCCTCAAATAGGTTTGGAATATACTCTAGGGATGGAAGAGTAGTAAAATATGTATATGCGCATCGATCATGTGAGGTGGGGATTCTGCGCGCGGTAGATGTTTGTGGGCTTGCGCTTGATTGCGATGTGAGCGATGACGTAGCGGCGGTGCGCGAACTTGGTTCACGCTGTGTCCGCGTGGGAACGCGTCCGCGACGTAAGCGGGGCGCCCTTGTCTCTTAAGGCCCCATGTGAATGGACCCTGGACACGTCTCATCTTCCCTCCATCGAAGAGCACCGGTAAGAGTTTACGCACGAAAGCGATGTATTCCTCAAAGTAAAGCTGACAGTGACGCTACGCTCATGCGATCGGATCGCCCGGATTTACCCTTAGATTATCATCGCACCGCGCTGCCTCCCGCATCAACTGTTCGCCCTCGACCGCTGCTACAACCGAAACGTTATCCACACCTCCTCTATCGCTGGCACTTTGCGTGACATATACATCCACAACTTCCATCCTCTCAATTTCACTTCTGACCTTTGACCTTCACGCTCTGCGTTCATCCTGCTCCTGCAATCCAAAGTGGCTCCGAATCTCCTCATATTTGATTCTGTACGACTCGGCTTCTTCGTACCTTTTCTTCCAGAGTTGTGACTCTTCTTGGGCTTTCTGCGCTACTGTCTCAGCATCCCGAGCGCGACCCTCCGCAATCATGAGTTGGATGTTGAGATCAAATAGCTTGTTTCGTAGCTCGAGGCTGTCTCGCTCGCCGGCATTGTGCGATTCATTGAGTGCCGCCATCTGGTCCCCACCAGGACTGTCTGGTTGTGGATATCCGAATCGAGTCTGCAGCTCAAGTGGGGAGCATAGTACCCGGGGCCTTATAGAACTCTCAATCGGCGGCGGACTGGGCGACGGGCTGCTGAGCACAGTATACGAGCTGCTTGGGAGTGGATCGTTGGCGGTCTGCTCGTAAAGGTAGGGAGCCCTCTCGGGATAAGGCGCTGAGCTCGACTGTTAGTTACGCAGAACTCATTGATGGCTGATCTTAGACATACACTGGTAGTTTGCTGACGCTATCGGCGCACGACTAGCTTCTGGTGGAAAGATCGTAGCGTATGGGGTCGGAACCGGTTCGGGCCTCTCCGCGACCGCGTCGGCAATAGCCCGGCACGCATAGGGAAACCTGGCTACGAACCTGTTGAACACGTTCGAGTCGTCGATTACGCCTACTCTCCAGCCTTTTGCAAGGAAGTAGTAGCGTAGCATAGCATCACAGCAAGCAACCTCTGTCTGGCTTTGAGTCGGTGGGATCAAGTTGAACGGAAATCCCAAGCTCCAAGAAGAGGCGCTCTCTTTTGTCAAGGCCATACGGCGAATCTGTTGCTCCCCTTTCCGGTTCTTTCCAATGTAGCCGATGACTATGTGGGGACCTGCAAGCCAGGCCATAAGGTCTACCGGCTTCCTTGTTTTAGTGTAGGTGCTGCCGATGACAAAGCTTTTGAAGCCTCTGTCCTGATTGTACCCGCGGATGATGTTGAACTGTGTACGAAATGCTCCCGCATCAGGTAGGTGCTTGAACTGGTGGGGGAAATCTCGGATTGCCCATGCTTGTACGTCCTCGAGGGTGATTCCGGTGGGCGCCATGATGTGGGAGTATGCAATCTGAACGAATGGGCGTGTTGTTACTAAGGTTCTCGCAGGGCGAAACGAAGCTGTGGAATATTGCGCCTAAAGTGGGCTCATCTTCATCGTGATATGACGACTGAAGATACCGGAAGTGGTTAGTGGCCTCACCGACACGCGCCGATGAAGGCGATTGAGGGAGGAGCGATGAGAGGGAAGCAGTAACCCAACTCCATACAGCTACGCGAAAAGTGAAAGAGGACACCTCACCCTAGGATCAGATCTGGAAAGTATGGCAGAACTTTGATTAAGTGGCAGTGGAAATATGAGTGTGTTTCGCAGCCTCATTGGTAAGTGTGCTGCAGGTGTAGGCTTTAAAAACCACCGAGCTCTAGTTATTGGGCGAGATGATTGCCTACGGTGCGATGCAACAACGGTCTCCTCTGTATATCGCGCATCGCTTCCTTTTCATTCCGATGATCACTCTCTTGTTGCACTTTCCAGATTCCAATGGTACCCTCCCAAACTTCGAGTGAACCAGAACGTTTCTGTTATACATATGAAGGCGTCATCTTGCTCACTAACCCTAGTTCATAGCGCTCCGCCGTTTCTCGAACGCTTCTTGCTTGGCCAAGGTCTCTTGCTTTCTCGACTCTGTCTCCAGTTCTTCGACCTTCTCCTCTAGATTCTTGATGTGAGCCATAGCCGACTCGTTCGCGATCCTACCCACAACTGCGGCATTCTTTGACTTTGTAGCGAACTCGACCATGGTCTGCAACTTGT